CGTCAAAGTGCAAGTAGATAAATAGGTACCACTCCGGCGGGAAGGTAAACGGCGTTTCCGTGCTTAGTCCTGCTGGCCACATGACCCGGAAGCTGTACGCCGGCTCCCTCGGCCAATAAAGCGAGATGAGTGCCGTAACCCCAGAGTCAGTCACGATTGGACCTAATGGTCAGGGGTCCCTTTACCTTTACATTTTAAACATTTTCTTCAATTCATTATATATCATTTCCCAATTTTTTAAAACTTCTCTACATTCGCGGGGCGAGCCTCTCTGACGCTTTGAGCCTCTCCGCTGCCTCCCCCTGAGCTGTAGGGTGGCTGAGGGAGAGGAAGTAGGCAGAGGCAAGTCCCACGCTGCTGTTTCAGGCAGTTCGGAACCTGCAGGCTCCTCAGCCATCACGTCACTCCTAAAAAGTTTCGTGAGCCCAATTTTTTAGAAACTCATTTTGTCACCCCCCCAGTGATGACACCTGGGGTGAACCACACCCCCCGCTCCCCCTTCCTCCGCCACTGTGTACAGACGGATGTGTGAGAGTTTGCATACTAGCCTAATGTCCAAAGCCACTTGTTGCTTTCTTTACTTTTGCCACTTACCTAGTCCACTTAGGCCTCTGGCGCAACCAGGGTTGCCGCCCTTGGTCTGGCAAAATACAGGACAGGATGGGGTGGGGGATTGCATACAGTGGTACCTTGGGTTAAGAATTTTTCTTTTTTAAATCATTTTTATTAAGTTTTCCATTTTAACAATCCAGTCAAATCACATTGAATGTTCTAAATTATACAAATACATATCAAATAGTCCAAATATTCTGCCTAAATTATAATTTTTTTGTTGGGACTTCCCATGCTTCAAGTTCGGGTTAAGAATTTAATTCGTTCCGGAGGTCCGTTCTTAACCTGAGGCACCACTTTAGCTAATGGGGCCTCCTGCTGCCGCAGCGCTGCCGCTGTGCGATTTCTGTTCTCATCCTGAAGCAAAGTTCTTTACCCGAGGTACTATTCCTGGGTTAGCAGAGTCTGTAACCTGAAGCGTCTTTAACCTGAAGCGTATGTAACCAGAGGTACCACTGTACCCCACAAGTGTCCCAGACTGGGACATCCCGTTTTTTATATTGCGAGAACATAACAGCCATTTTGGTTGTTGCCATGATCTCCTGCGATTTTGCGGTGCAATTCCCCTCCCCTCACAAAAGTGCTTTTTCGGGGCTTGATTTCGCACAGTGCCCTTTCTGGGCACTGTGTGTGAAAAAACACTTTTTTGGGGGGGGGGAGGAGAGAAGCGCAGGGTGAAATTGCGTGTGATCATCAAAATGGCCGCCATGCTCTCATGAGAAAAAACAGCAAGAGGGCGTCCGGAAAGATGGCGTCCCAGATTTTGGCTTCCAAGTATTGGAGGGTATGGGGGAGGGAGGGAGAGAGAGAGAGATTCAGGAAAATAGAAATATAAGGCAAACTGCACCCTGTGTATTGAATCAATACAGGACATAGCATTTTACACTGAAATATGGGACAATCTTGTATTATAAAGGACAGGTGGCAACCCTAGGCACAACCTACCACTGGCATCTGGTCCCTGGAAGGTTGTACAGTAGAGAATTTGGCCCTCAGCCTGAAAAAACAGCTTCCCATCCCTGCTTCAGAAGATAAACATAGTACAGCAAGCATCTTGGTTAAAGGCAGAGAATTTAAGTACAGGATTTACTGGAATATCTCCCTTTTCAGGCACTAATCTACCTGGTCAGGGAAGACCAGCCTTTCTTCCTAGTTGAAATTGAGGCTTTGGTCACGCTTCAAAGCAGAGGTTTATCCCTTTGGTGCTTCTCGTTGTCAGAGGCATGTTGCTTTGGCCTGAAACCTTATCCACCCTCACCTGGGAGTGCATCCCGATGGACTCTGTAGGGCTTCTTTCTGAGCAGAAATGGATGGGCTTGCTCTGCAGATGTCATCAGATCATCTAAAACAGCCTTTTCCCCAGGTAGTACCCTCCAGATGTTTCAGACAATAACTTTAATCATCCCTGATCACTGACCAAGCTGGCTGGGGCCAAATTGAAATATTGAAATTGAAATACAGTGGTACCTCTGGTTACAGACGCTTCAGGTTACAGACTCTGCTAACCCAGAAATAGTACCTCGGGTTAAGAACTTTGCTTCAGGATGAGAACAGAAATTGTGCTCCGGTGGCGCGGCGGCAGCGGGAGGACACATTAGCTAAAGTGGTGCTTCAGGTTAAGAACAGTTTCAGGTTAAGAACGGACCTCCAGAACAAATTAAGTTCTTAACCCGAGGTACCACTGTACAGTGGAACAGTTAATACTGAAAGTGAAATTAGAGCTAGTTTGTTTTTTTTAATTAAACCCAACTTCCATAGCTCAGTTGGTTAGAGCGTGGTGCTGGCAACACCAAGGTTGCAAGTTTGATCCCCATAAGGGACAGCTGCATGTTCCTCCATTGCAGAGGGTTGGACTAGATGATCCTCAGGGTCCCTTCCAACTCTATTGATTCTTTGAGCACCAAAATATCTGGAGGACTGTCACATGGAAGAAGTAATTAGCTTGTTTTCTGCTGGCCCTGAGGGTAGGACCTGAACCAGTGGATTCAAATTACAAGAAAGGAGATTCCGACTAAACATCAAGAAGAGCTTTCCTGACAGTAAGAGTTGTTTGAAAGTGGAACAGACTAGATAAGCCTTTGGGTACCTTCCAAATCCACAATTCCATGAACTCACAGCTGTACACGGTGGATAAAAATCACTGATTTTTAAAAAAACAAACAAAAAACCCAGATTGCTTTTATTTAAATCAGATTTTTTTATTTAAATCATTTTTTTATTTAAATCAATTTTTTTTATTTAAATCAATCTTTTTTATTTAAATTGGATTTTTTAAAATAAAATGCTTTTGGAGGAAATAATCTTTCTAAAGGTAGTTTTCTATTTAAGTTACATTATAGTTCAGAGGCCATCGGGAAATAAGGATTTGCTTTAAGTTTTTCATGTGTGCTGAAACTCAGCTTAAGTTTTTTTTTTTTAATGTTTAACCACATCAGTTAACAAACATGGATACATATGCTATAATGTTATTGTTTTAGTTAAATAAATTATTTAAACTGTTATTAAGGAAATGATTATTTTTCTCCTTCCAATAAAGGACAGCAGAAAAGTTGTCCAAATATAAACAGTTAATTTACAGGATTAAACCTCACAATAATTTCATAATATCTGTCTATGTATTTCTAATAGTACAGTGGTACCTCGGTTTAAGAACAGTCCAGTTTACGAACGATTCGGTTTACGAACTCCGCAAAACCGGAAGTTGTGTCCCGGTTTGCGAACTTTACCTCAGTCTAAGAACGGAAGTCGAACGGTGGAAAGGCACTGGTGGCGGGAGGCCTCATTAGGGAAAGCGTGCCTCAGTTTAAGAACAGACTTCCGGAACAGATTAAGTTTGTAAACCGAGGTACCACTGTATAACCAAAAGCAGTAATTTTTGATATAACTGCAAAAACAACTCTGAAAATTTATTATTCCAAAAACGAAAACTTCATCTGGTTGTAAATATTAAGATTATTATACCAGCAGGAATACCTTTATGTAAAAAGAAGATTTAAATAAAGTCTGACTGACTAGTGATTTAAATCCGTGATTTAAATCGATTTGATTTAAATCAAACCCACCCTGCAGCTGTAGGAATAGGGTGGGTTCCAAAACACACACATTTCAGGTGTCAAAGGCCAGGCTAAACAGGTGCCTTTTCAGCAGTACAGTCATACCTCGGGTTAAAGTCATTTTGGGTTAAATCTTTTCAGGTTGCGTCCCGCGGTGACCCAGAAGTAATGGAATGGGTTACTTCCGGTTTTCACTGCTCACGCATGCGCAGATGCTCAGAATAATATCACGCGCATGCGCAGATGCGGCAAATAGTGACCTGCGCACGTGCAGATGAGGGTTGCGTTCTACTCATGATGTGAACTGGGCTCCGGAATGGATCCCATTCGCATCCAGAGGTACCACTGTACCTGAAAGCTGTACAGGGAAGGTCCCAGGCACATTGCTATGGGGAGAGAATTTCACGGTTTAGGGGCTGACACAGGGAATGCCCACTCCTGGTCCAGCACCACTTGAATTTCTGGTGGCAGCAGACCTGCCAAGAAGGCTCCCACTGCTGATCTCAATACCCAAGAGGGGAGGAGCTGGTCTCTTAGATATTTGGGGCCTAAGTCATCCGCATGTCTTCCTATTAGTCATTTGTCCACCCCACACATTTCAATGCATTTTGCCGTCACTTTCCAAAATGCAAACCCCCTCCACCTTCATAGTATGTTTGTGTGTTTTAAAAGCGTTGGTTTGTTGTGCCAGGGCGACAGAGCCCTTTAATCCACTTTAAATGTGCAGTTACGGCATGTGATTGAACGCAGACTGTTTGCAGGCGCCTGCAGCTTTTGGGAACTCTGAAAAGGTGGTCCGTGGATGTTTCAGCAGCCGCTTAGTTGAAAGTTGTTTTCATTTTAATAGATTTAACAATGCCGATGTCCCAGATAAAATGCTGTGCAAAGCTTTTTTTTTTTTTAACGCTATTTAATCCCTCCCTTTTGTCCTCGAAAGGCCTCTGCTTTTGTCAATGTCAAATTAGTTTTTGTGGCCTCAATATGGATAGGAAGTGGACTTGACGCTAAATCGGGCAGGAATCCTGACAAAATATTTTTTGTTTCTCTGGACTCTTTATGTCTGTTTCTTTCTCTCTCTGTGACTGGTTTCTCAAAATCAAAGAATGCTTCTTTTGCAGGGGTGGGTGGGTACGGGAGGCATTCAACCAAAAGCTGGAAATGATCACACAATGATGAAGATTAGAAACACCTTCTTCTTCTTCTCTTCCTCTCTCCTCCCCCTTCTCCTCCTCCATTGCTTACTATCAAAGTCTCCAAGAGATATACCTTTCAAAACATGAACATATTGCGCCATTAAAATCCTTGTGAAGCATTAATGTTCTCATACAAACATACTGGGATACCTCAGTCAGTAGAGCAGGAGACTCTTAATCTCAGGGACATGGGTTCGAGAGCCCCACATCGGGCAAAAGATTCCTACATTGCAGGGAGCTGGACTAGATGAACCCAGTGGTGGACCCTTCCACTGTACAGTGCTGTGAAACACCTTGAAATGTACTCGGTGTCCTGTAGTGATTTCATGCTCTTTATTGCAGCTTGTAAAACAGTGATTGAATTGCCCACCAATCCTCAGGCTTTTATATACATTATTTACACAATGAGTCCCATCTGATTGGCTGATTCTGCTTCCCTCCTGGAGCCTGATCGGTCATTTCCTGCAAGCCAATCAATTGCTGCATTCTAGGTTCCTACCAGCCTAATAGGCTGATTAACTTCCTCCTGGAGCCTGATTGGTCATTCCTGCAAGCCAATCAGTTGTTGCGTTCTAGGATCCTACTTGCCTATGGTTCTAGCATCCAAGCTTAGTACATAACACACCTACACATATAAATACCCCCACATATCCCAGAGTGGTTCAGCAGTCGTTCCTCTCCACAGAGAACTCTGGAATTGTAACTCTGTGAGGAAAATAGGGGTCTCCTAACAACCCTCCTAACAACAGCATCTTAAAAAGCAGAGACATCACCTTGCCAACAAAGGTCCGTATAGTTAAAGCTATGGCTTTCCCAGTAGTGATGTATGCAAGTGAGAGCTGGACTATAAAGAAGGCTGATCGCCGAAGAATTGATGCTTTTGAATTATGGTGCTGGAGGAGACTCTTGAGAGTCCCATGGACTGCAAGAAGATCAAACCTATCCATTCTGAAGGAAATCAGCCCTGAGTGCTCACTGGAAGGACAGATCCTGAAGCTGAGGCTCCAATACTTTGGCCACCTCATGAGAAGAGAAGACTCCCTGGAAAAGACCCTGATGTTGGGAAAGATGGAGGGCACAAGGAGAAGGGGACGAGATGGTTGGACAGTGTTCTCGAAGCTACTAACATGAGTCTGACCAAACTGCGGGAGGCAGTGGAAGACAGGAGTGCCTGGCATGCTCTGGTCCATGGGGTCACGAAGAGTCGGACACGACTAAACGACTAAAGAACAACAACAACAGCCCTCAACACCTTTAACTACAACTCCCATAGTTCTTTGGGGGGAAGCCATTACAGTTTAAAGTGGTTTCATAATGCTTTAAATGTATGGCACGGATATGGCCCACGTAGCTCAGTATGCTCCACACTGACTGGCAGTGGGTCCCCAGGGTTTTAGACAGCCCCCAGTCCTACCTGGAGATGCCAGTGATTGAAACTGGGACTTTGTGCATGCAAATAAATCTCCCACTTCGCCCCCTCCTTGGGCCAGATTTAGGTTTGATGAGGCCCTAAGTTACTGAAGGTAATGGGGCCCTTAAATGTCCAGCTGTCCTTTGTCAACAACAAATTCCCGCTGTTTTTTTGTGTTGAATATATGCTATATGGTAATTTATGGACCTAATAGATATCTAAGGGATGCGGGTGGCGCTGTGGTCTAAACCACAGAGCCTAGGGCTTGCCGATCAGAAGGTTGGCGGTTCGAATCCCCGCGACGGGCTGAGCTCCCGTTGCTCGGTCCCTGCTCCTATCAACCTAGCAGTTCGAAAGAACATCAAAGTGCAAGTAGATAAATAGGTACTGCTCCGGTGGGAAGGTAAACAGCGTTTCCGTGCGCTGCTCTGGTTTGCCAGAAGCGGCTTAGTCCTGCTGGCCACATGACCCGGAAGCTGTCTGCGGACAAACACCAGCTCCCTCGGCCAGTAAAACGAGATGAGCACCACAAACCCAGAGTCGTCCGTGACTCGACCTAACGGTCAGGGGTCCCTTTACCTTTAATAGGTATCTAAAGCCATTTGCACGTAACAAAATATGTATTTTATCAAAGTAATTGATATAGAAATGAGCAAACCGGTGATATTTTAGGGAGCAGGCTAGCAGGCAGGGCCCAATACTTACATCATAGGAGCCTACACAACACAAAACACTGTTGCTGTATGTAGGTTTTATTGTATTTGTTTTAATCTTATATTTTGAAAATGTACATCCAGTTTTTTTCTCTTTAATTTTTTTGGGGGCCCCCAAGAGAGTGGGGCCCTGAGCTATAGCTTATTTAGCTTATACATAAACCCAGCACTGCCCCCTCCTATAATACTCCTCTGCAGCCCTCTGATTAATATGTTTCCACAGTGGTCCTCGAATCTGAATCATACGATTCCTCAATAACATGGTGACTTTCATAGATGCAGTTACCTCCAATTTCCCTAAGCCTACATTCTATTCCCCCCCCCTTTTAATTAGAAATCATCCTCCCCCTTTTAAGACCAGGTGCATTCTCTTTTATCCTCTTAGCTCAGATTAGGGGGGGACGGACATGCTCTTTGTTCTCTGGATTCCAGAAGGGCAATGCAGCTGTTTGAATGGAAGTAGAAATATTCCACATCTTCTTGAATGGCGACGGTGAGCGATGGAAGCGATCAAACCTTCTGGGGGTCAAGTTCAATTGATGTCACAGGCTTCCCATCATTCATATATACCAGACATGTCCAACTCCCAAGAGACTGCGATCTACTCCCAGTATTAAAAAAACTGGCAGTGATCTACCCAGAGCTGTTTTGGGGGAGCATTGCCAAGAGGAGTTGAGCTTTTTTTTAGGGGGGAGTGCCAAGAGTTCTTTTTTTGGGGGGGGATTGCAAAAAACCACTCACCCAGCAGTCCACTGCCCTCTGCCCCCAGCGGCGATGGGATCTAGCGCCAGGGGTGGCAACATTTCTTGCCCACTTTATTTAATCCTGCGATCAATCAGGATCACCCCGGCGATCTACCTGCCGATCGCGGTCAAACGGTTGAACATGTCTGATACAGTCATGTCTTGGGTTGAAGTCGCTTCAGGTTAAGCCTTTTCGGGTTGCACTCCGCGACGACCCGGAAGTAACAGAGCGTGTTACTTCTGGGTTTCGCCGCTCGTGCATGCGCAGACGCTCAAAATGACGTCACGCGCATGCGCAGAAGCGGAGAATCGCGACCCGCGCAGATGCGGGTTGCGTTCGCTTCAGGATATGAACGGGGCTCTGGAACGGATCCCGTTCGCATCCAGAGGTACCACTGTATATACCTAGTAAAGGTAAAGGGACCCCTGACCATTAGGTCCAGTCGTGGCCGACTCTGGGGTTGCGGCGCTCATCTCGCTTTATCGGCCGAGGGAGCTCGCGTATAGCTTCTGGGTCATGTGGCCAGCATGACTAAGCTGCTTCTGGCGAACCTGAGCAGCGCACGGAAACGCGGTTTACCTTCCCGCCAGAGCGGTACCTATTTATCTACTTGCACTTTGACGTGCTTTCGAACTGCTAGGTTGGCAGGAGCAGGGACTGAGCAACGGGAGCTCACCCCATCGCAGGGATTCGAACCGCCGACCTTCTGATCGGCAAGTCCTAGGCTCTGTGGTTTAACCCACAGTGCCACCCGCGTCCCGTATATACCTAGTGGACTCTTGTAAATAAAACAGTTCTTAGAAGTCTGCGGAAAAGTTTCCTTAAAGAGCAACCAAGATGTTCAAGGGGCCAGAGTGATTCCCCGGTGTTGCAAACTTACAACATTGGGGGCCTTTTAATATCAAGCAAGGGCCGGAGGGATGGACGGGACTTGATAGAGGTGTGTAAAATAATCCTCGGCGTGGAGCAAATGGATAGAGATAATTTATTCACCTTCTCCCATAACAAAACCTGGGGACGTCCAACGAAGCTGAATGCTGGCAGGTTCCGGACAAACAAACTGCACTGCTGTGGCTGAAATCCAGTGCAACATGTCAGCAGGTTGATACAGCCGTAGTCCCATAACATAGCAGTGTGAAAGGAACATTAAAAACCAGGGCAGAAGCATCTCGAATGCCTTTAGGGAGGTATTTTTATATGCAACCGCTGCAGCTTGGACTTTGGTGGCAAAGGGGTGGAAGGAAGAAGTCCCGACAATAACAGATTAGCATAACAAGCTACAAGAATTTGCTGAAATGGCGTAGTTGACAAATAGCCTGAGAGGCAATTCAAAACAAAAATTTATGGAAAAGTGGGATAGATATAAGATATATATTAAAAAATACAGTAAAGGTTCGCTATCTATGCTAGCATTCGATTGACGTTGGAGAGAGACCGAGTTGAGAAATAAGACCAAGGGTACATATTGATATAGGAATGTATTAGATAAAATGTAAAGAAATATACAATAATAAGAGTACATTCATTTGTAAAAAAGGAATTTAGACAGAATGTCCAAAGTGTTGGTACATATATGATTTTGGAATAGTTTTTTGTCCTTGTATTTTTCCCCTTTACGTATATAAACTTTGTTTATAAACTTTGTATACATGCAGAAAATTATATTATAATAAGCCTTGTGATGTAATATGATAATGTTTACCGATGTAACATAAGAACGTTAATAGCGTTTATTAATTTTCCAATAAAAACATCTAATTAACATATCAAATCCAATAAAAATAAAAAAACTAAAATAAAAAAGTCCAATTGTCTTCCAAATTTTAATAATATTTGTTTTGGCTTCCCACGATCTGAATTCCGAAGCGCTTTCAATACCATAGTCCTGCCTCTCATCATCATCATCAATGTTTTTCAACATTCCATATCTGATTTTTTTCCTCCACGTTTTGACTCTGGTTCTGTGATCCTCATTCATATCAGAAAACAGATACTTTTTTTCTATGGAGTGCAGATTTGTCCGTATATTGTACTCTTTCAGCTGTTTTTGTTTTTTCATTGCACATAAGAATGTTAATAAATAAATAAAACTCAAAACAACAACAACAACAAAAACAACAACCAGGGCAGAAGCATAACCAAGAAAGTTGGCATGAGAATTGTAGAAACTGGGTGGGATCCTGTGGGGTTATCTAGCCCAACCCCCCCGCAATGCAGGAATCTCAACTAAAGCATCCGTGTGCAGACAGCCGTCTGGGCTCTGCTTGAAAACCTCCGAGGAAAGGAGAGTCCACGACCTTCCAAGATAGCCCGTTCTACTGTTGAACAGCTCTTACCGTCAGAAAGTTCT